TTACCATATGTGGTGGACATGTGGAGACAAGATACTAAAAAATATTGGACTAAAATCCACACGTGGTTGGAAAAAATGACAAAAAAACATATAGATTTGAAACCAGAGATATTTTTATTGGGAATTTTACCTGAAATATATAGTAAAGAATTGAAATACTTGATTGTAAATATATTAACAGCGGCTGGATTGTATTTGCTAAAAACTGGAAAAATGAGAAAATACCATCACAGGAGGAAATCATTAAGAAAATATTGGAATGTGCTGAAATGAATAGATTGACATTTGAAATTAGAGAACAAGATGATAAACAATTTTATAAAATTTGGGATCTATTCTATCAATGGTTAAACAATAAAACATAGTAATGAAATATGTAGATTCTTAGAAAATAATAAATATATAAAGATGTACTCTTTTCCTATTGTATCTACAAAATGATTGTAGGATAGATTTGAGATGATAATATGAACTGTCATAAAACAAATTAAGTAAAATATGATGACTTCGTAAAACATGAATGAATAAAAGTATAGTCAAATGATAGATTAATAATGATATTAATGTATTTAATACTTGATTGAAAATATGAGAATATATATAATGTAATTGTAATTGAACACTACGAAATGGAAGCACAAAACAATTTGTAAACCAACCGGCACACTGTATGTATATACATGGAAGATGGCTTGATGTTTTTTGTTTTGTTTGTTTGTTTTAAAAACCAATAAAAATTTTAAAAAAATTATTGTTTACTTCCCAGAGTCCATTTGTGAGACAGGTGGGCGGTTCTTAAATGTGACAATATTAAATGCATTCTCGGGAATTTTCATCTATAAAGTTGTGCAGTAAATGAATTGAAGCAGGCAAACACGCTTTAAATCCACTGCCTGTACCTCTTAGCAATATATTTAAAGAAATCCATGGTATGGTAGCTACCATGTATGCTCAAGAATGTTTCTTGCCTCAGATTGAAATACTCTGTAGTTCTACTCATATACATGATGATGGGTCTAGATTATTCTAGTACATATTATTTCTGGTCATTTCAGACAGAAAAACTGAGATGGTGCAATAATCTCCTAGCACTATCAATAATTCTTATTCTACGTCTTTCCATTTGTCACAGAATTGACAATTTTAGTTAAAGGATCACCTAACCCAAGGATAATTATATTCCAGATATCCTGGAAATGATTCCTACTAGTTTGGACAATGAAAACTGCAACACAAATTATCTCAAGGGAATCAAGACATTTATACATCTGACACAGATTTTTTTTTAATAAGGCAGCAAATCTTTAGCACCTCTTTTTAGAGGTATTCCACACTCCTTATATAAGAGAGTATACAGAGAGTCCTCACTTAATGACTCTTCAAAATTAGGATGGTGCTTTAAAAAAACAACTTACTAAACAGTCCTCATATTAACAACCTTTGTAGTATCTATTTCACTTGCTCAATCATGCGTACCAAGATGTTTTCAAAGAAAAAGACAGAAAACCAAGTTCACTTAAATAAAGTAGTAAGAAGCAAAAGATCACATAATTTTCATTTCGCAAGCACTTTGCTTAACAACCAAGTTGCTAGTCTCAATTGTTGTTCTAAATGAGGATTACCTGTATTACCATTAGTGGTAGTCTTTTTTCTCATTAAGCAGCCCATAACTGCAAAAATTATGTTGATATTCAAAGAGATCTGAGAATTATCAAAATTATTTTTATCTACTGCTTCTTTGATTAATCAATACATTTATTATATAAACTGTCAAATGTGAGCAAAAGTATGCCATTAGGTTTATTTTTAAACTTCTCACAATTATATTCTATTAGAGGAGTCATCAGCAGTCATACTATTACAACACTTTGGGGCAGACCCCAGATCCTTGAACTGTATGTCATATAATTTTGGCTTAGGCCAGCATTAGTTGGGAATTTGCCAAACATTTTGGAAAGCCACAGCCCAAAATACACGAACAGGTTGATTTCTGGTATACACACCTGCAAAACCACTATGGGAAATAAATCAATATTACTTTCCTAAATATATTAGAACATTTAGAATTATATGCTGGGATGAAAACCAGAGGAGAATTAAATTACTTGTCTTAGAAGTGAATCTTAACAGTCAATAATTAATTCATGGTTGATATCCAGCAGTAACTCGGTTTTATTTTTAGAAAACAGTAAGATGTAATAGTGCGCCTATTCACTGTTGATACAAAAATCTGTTTACAATAATTAGTAAACTTGCAACACTAAAAGCAAGTACACAAGTATATACTGTATTAATGTGTGTATTTGAGAAGATTGCTAAAATATATTAATGGAAAAAATGTGAAGTGCAATGCCTTTCCTTTGACATATGAAATCTATCAAGCAAGGTTAGGAGTTCTGAGTGTCCCAAAAATAATAAGGAAGTCATTACAATTACTTTCCCAATGCATTTATTTGGATGAAAAAATATTAATGTAGCTATTTTGTATTAACTCTTTAAAAAAAATCAGAAATGATCTACTGAAAGTGCTTTAAACCCCAAAGAACCTCTTCTAATAAAGCTAGGATCTAACCCAGTGGTGGCTAATCTTTTCGGCACTGAGTGCCAAAACGGGAGCGTGCATGCGCACCGGAAACCAGAAGAACAGCTCCCTGATGCATGTGGGCCGAAAACTGGAAGCTTAAGTGTCCCAGCACACGCACCAGCCACCTAGTCTGGTTTCCAACACAAAGACCAGCTGGCTGGCACACACATATGCTCTGGGGAGTTGCTCTTCTAGTTTCTGGCGCTCCCACTTGTGCAACCAACTGGCATGTGCACGCCAGAACCCAAAAGAGCAACAGGGGATGGCTGGTATGCTCAGAGAGATGGCTTCGTATGCCACTTCTGGCATGAGGGACATAGGTTCACCATCACGGATCTAACCCCTTATAACTAAGTATGCAAGTTCATTGTAAAATATTAGTGAAAGTACTAAGCAACTATATCCAGTTAATTCAAACCAAAAATAATCTTAAATTAAATCCCAATTCTTGACCATCATCATCTCATATTATCATAGAAATCCCAGTGTTCAATTACTAAAATATAGTATAAACTACAATTAAAATTAGAAAACACATACCACAAAGACAGAGATAAGGGGGAGAAAACTAATGAATGCAAGCCAAATTTGGACCTGGACCTACAAATAATACGTGAAAGCACTCTCTTTCCAGAGTTTCTTTTTACCAATGCTCAGCTACTTTAGTAACTCAACAGTATTTCATTTCATTTTAACTTTAAGTTTTCTATATTACTACAGAGTAAAAGGAAACCTTTTATCTCCTTCATAATTAAAAAAACATAGTTTTATTTAGTCAATAATTTAGTCAATAATTTTCTTTTATCAGATTTTTTTACAATGTCTTTTGTTTTTTTCATATTCATTCCAACAGGGTTCTTCTTTCTTGCATAACATACATAGACTGTATCTGCAAAGTCTTCTTGCTAAGCAAAGCATCGACAATCTTTAATGCTTTCTTTTTGGTATGAAAACCATACTCTTATTTTAACAAACTGATGACTCATAGAATATTAAATAATTTCAAAAGATTTGGGCTAACTACAAAAAGAAAAAAGAAAACCCACCCCAAACTAAATTTTTAGTAGAAGCACATACTTTATTTTTCAAAGTATTTCCTTTCTAAAAGTCTTAGCTTACGAAATTAGTAGCATCTTTGTTTCTGACTTAACAGATACATCCTCTTTCTGGTATCCCACAACTTTTTTTATTTTCACAATTGTTAATCATCACTGAAATGCTAGGGCAAAGACAGTAAACAGCCTAGAACAAGTTTAGAGTTGCTTTGTACACCTGAGAGGACTGTGTACTGGATCTGGCTCCACCCGCAGGAAACAAGAGAGATGAGGATGATGAAACAAGGTTCATTATAAGAATATGACATTATCTGCAAACGTGAAACAAAAGCTTCTGAAGGGGGGATACCGGAAAATTTATATTAATTAATGCTGGCAGAAGAAAAAAAAAAAGGCCTCCAAGTTGACAAAGAAGGCCTCCAAGTTATACAATTCTCCTATACCCAGCCTCTTCCTTCTTATACACTTTTTTTCAAGGCAACTTGCTCAACCAAAAGGCACTTTTTTTTCCCTCCACTTCTGTCCTCATTCTTATCCTTGCTAAGAGGAAGAAATATAACGGTCTGATGGGGGAGGTTCTCTCTCATCCACACATAAATACTTCGGAGCCATTTTATTTTTAAATAATTTATAGTCAAACCTTATTACCCAAAAGAGCTACCTCCACGGGAATATGTATATACACAACAAAGTAACAAAATTAACCCCCGCCCGCCCTACAGGGGGCGAAAAATACAACCAATTTAAAGGACGGCGGCGAAAGCGAATTAAAAAAAAAAAACTGCCCTTCTCAAGACGCAAAGGCTGCTGCTTGGGCAGGAAATAAAGAGGGAAAGCCACCATGGAAAGTAATGGGGAAGGGGGGGGGGAAATACAGTTTTCGGGCTATTACTTCTCCCAACCTTTTCCGAGCCCCTCTGCCCGGGAGGAGACCGCCAGCTCCTCACCTTCCACCCCGGACGCGCTCTCCTTCTTCATCCCCCGTTAAGAGGAAAGGAGGGCGGGCCAGCAGGTCCCACCAGCCCTCGAGAAACCCGCTCGCATTCAATGCCCCCCCCCCCCGCCACCTCACGCCCCACTCGTGAGTGTGGAGCACCGGCGTTTAGGCCGGAAGCGCTGCGTTCTCCTTTCAACCGTCGGCTCACGACTGGGGCTCCGCAGCCTGCCCTTCTCGCCGCCGCCCCCCCTCGCCAGCATGACGGAGAGCGGCGGCGGCGGCGGCGGCAGATTCCGCTAAGTCTCGCCAGCTGCTGCCGCCGCCTCTCCTCGCTATCGACTCCCCCCCACTTCTGTATCCTCATTTGTTCCCCTAAATAGCGAACCCCACCCGCTCAGGCACTGCCGCCAAGGAAGCCGCTTACCCGAAGGGTTTACTTATCGCCTCTACCGGCGCCGCTGCAACTGCCGCTCTATCCTACGGCGGTGCTGGGGAATAAAAAAAAAAGGTTCGGCGGGAGGCCCGCCCTCGCATAAGCATTACAGCAGGGCCATAGGTGGCTGTCTACGCCACTCTTAGGCGCGCCGACTGCCGAGCTCGTTGATTGGGCCAGGGACCCGTAGATCCATTTATGGGGGGGGTGGACCTCGCTTGCTTCCAGTTGCAGAGCGTGGTTGACCAATAGAGGGAGAAGGAGCAAAAGAGAACGGCGCGCTCTGCTGCGCCTGCCTCGCCTCGCCGTTATCTTAGCGCCGCTCTTGCCTATTGCATTAATAGCCCTTGGCCAATAAAAACCATCGAGGTTTCGCCCCGGCCTCGGCGTTCCGTTCCGCCGCATTAATGTTTTCCGCTGAGCTCTATTTTCGATGGATTGTTTTTGATCGGGTTTTCCGCTCTCTTGACTCCCGTGTTTTGTTTTGTTTTGTTTTTAAAAAGAAAAGTCAAAAACTGGGTTCTTTCGCAGGAACGAGTTGCGGATGGGTGGGTTGTGAGCACAGAAGGCTCCCGGGTGTGGATTGTTCCGTGTGCCGTGAAACTGCAAGCCAGCAGCTGGGTTACTTTTCAGGACTTGTACGCCGGACTCCTTGCGTTTTTTGTTTTTACTTCGTGGGCGTTTGCATGGGCTGGGAGGTAGACAGTTCAAGTCTTTCTTGAGGCCTCACGCAGTCTGGATGAATATGTTAGTGGGCGATCTTAGAATGGAATAACAGAGTTGGAAGGGACCTTGGAGGTCTTCTGGTCCAACTTCCTGCTTTGGCAGGAAACTCTACACCACTTCAGACGAGTGGTTATCCAGCATCTTTTTAAAAACTTCCAGTGTTGGAGCATTCACAACTTCTTGTGAATCTTGGTGGAGAATTCACAAGGGCCAAGTTGCCAGGGTTCTTTTTTTAATATATGATTTAAGTTTAATTGGGCAAAACGGTGCTTGTTAAGGTTATAGTTTTGTTGCCATTTCCAATAACCCTTGACAGGTTCCCCCAAGTTTGTATTTATTTTGTCATTGTTTGTGTAGTATATATTGGAGGTGGTGACCCTTTGAGAGCTGTATGCAAGGAAATTTCATTTTAATGTATGCCAATTAGTGTACATTTAAAGTGACAATCAAGTTGTTCTAAGTCTAAAAGTCGGTGCCAAGCTGACAGAAGTATAAATTCATTTGTGTTTGATAATGTTTCTAGCAGCTTCCCACAAGCAAAGTGTATGCTTGGGGGGACTGGTAGGGAGCAATGGAGAAGCCAGAAGGGAAGATCACAGGTTGCTCAGTTAAGTCTCCTCCCACCTTTGCAATGTCCCCAACCTTTCATGTCATGCTGGAGACTCTTACAACCCAAGCAAGCCCAACTCTTGCAACCCTCTCAATCCATGCTGCACTCCTGCATGCCCTGCCTGATCCACTCTGCATCTCACTTGCTCACCCTTCTCACCCTCTCTGACCCATGCAGCACCTCTTTGCATCTTTTCATACTTTTCCTGACCTATACTGGATTCTCACCTGCATGAGAGTAAAGTGCCAGACCTGTGTGCACCTCACATAACCTTCCCAACCTATGTTGCATGCCTACATGGGGTTACAAGA